AAGACATTGAGTTTATTGCAGGCTTTTTGTTCTGAAACTATGTATTTAGATTATGCACTCCTAATACAATAAAGGCAGGATTGCCAAAGGTTAAAAAAAAAAAAAAATGAATTTTTTACTTCTAAGTGAGGTTATTTGGGTAACTGATTATTTTAATTATTTTTGTGTAGTGAATATTGACATTCTTTCGATTTTTAGCTAGCAAAACATAATTAAAAAATAATTTAACATACAGTATAAATAAATAAATTATCTAGACAATTGATTCAATTTTACGAAAGTATGAGATAATTAATAAATTAAACTAGACCATTACCATTAATTTGCACATTTTGCATAATCTCTAATATCAGTATTTATTTATTAACATTACCAATGTCGGCTCACAAGTACATATAAGGAATAAAATTTATTATTTAAATAATTGAAAATAATTTTTATTAATTTAGGCATATTGCCTATAAACATTTTTGATACTATGAATTATTTCTGTGTATATCTCTTTTTTAAAGATTGAAAACAAAACCATTTATCCTACATAAATCTCATTTTAATCTATTATCATAGTATAAAATTGGATTCTAAAAATTATAATAAAATCAGATTCACTAATAGTTAATATAAATACTAATTTATATTTAATCGGATCAGTTCATATTTAATCAGGTGGTCTTTTAAATTATTTTTATCTGTAAATACTATATCAAGTTGCTTAGAAATTCATAACAAAAAAAAATTATAAAAAGCAAAAATAATACTTATTATTTTTTTATTATCATTCTATATTTAAATTTTTTATTAAATCAAAATTTAATAAAAATTTATCTATTTAAAAACATGTGAAATTGGCCAAAGTTTTAAAGCCACTTTAAGATACAAGATTAATCCAACAAATTGATGATCAAGATTTATTCTCTTTTCAGTAACAGTAAGACCTGCAGATGAAAAAAGGTGTTTAGACAGTACAGAAGTTGCTGGAATTGATAAGTATTTGCGAGCTAATTTTGCAAATACTGGATATTCAGCTTTTCTTGACACCCACCATTGAAGTATATCTGTTTTGCTTGAAACTCTTAGTAATAGTAAGTATAAATCAAATTCATTGTTGTCTTTTTGGCTTGGTTGAAAACAATTAGGTGCTAAAATAAAAAAAATATCCTCCTCAATATTATCAAATATTAAAGAATTCGGTTAACTTTTTTTAAACTCATTATTTAAAGCCAATTCATTATACTCTATATATGCTTTCAAAATAGTATACCGTATTTCCTCTTCTATAAAAATTTGCATGTCCTTAGTTTGAGGATCAAAAAAACTAGCAAGTCAAATTAATTGAGTTGGTTCTGAAAACTGTGTTTGAATTGATTTAAGAAGGTATTTTCTAAAATTTTTAATATCGATATTAAATATTAATTCATTAGAAATTAATATATTATTAATTTTTAATTTGATATAATTGATTGCAAACCATGCTTGTGAAAGCGTTAGATATTGTGAACCAAATAATTGTATTGAAATAACCTTATACGGATGCAATAATTCAACTAACCCTCCTATTTTTTCTACTCTTCAGATGACAGTTCCTTTTCTTCGTAACTTTTTAATGAAATACTTTCATTATTCTCAACCAAAATAGACTTATATCTATATAGTGCCGGTTTAAGAATAACTAATCTTTTTAATAAATAAAACATTGAGTTCCAACATCACGAACCACAGAGAGCAACCTATTCCAATTATCCATTGTTATCTAGCTGTTAATAGAAACTGTTTTTGTTTCAGATTTCCACTGAAATGTGATACAATACCCTTGCATTTCTTAATAAGACAAATGATTTTAGAGCTTTTCTTTAATGTATCATTAATTACAAGATTTAAGGTATGACCAAAACAAAAATTATTAGATATATTATATCTTTCTTCCAACTTCTTTAAACATAACTTAATGTTTGGACCATTATTGATTGCCACACACAGCTTTACTTATAAGATGAAATTTGTTTAAAATTTCAATAATTTTGTCTACAAGTCATTCTGCTGTATATGGGTATGGGAGATACGAAATCTCACTAACCATTTCTCATACTTGAAAGTCTCCATTTACCCAATGAAATGTAAGTCCAATATACAGATTATCATTATCTGAAGTCCACATATCTGTGGTAAATAAGATGTAACAAATTTCATCATTATATACATGCTTATGCATGCTTTGCAAAATTCTATCCTTAGCGTTTATTAAAATTTCTTTTAGCTAATCATTGCTTAAAACACTAGCTTGAGGGTCCAGATCTTCTATTATTTTTATTAATTTCTTGACTTTAGAATTAAAAAAGGTTGGAGTTTTTCAGTAATAAAAGCAGCAAGATTGCTGTTAAGTTTTTTTTGTTTTGGGTAATTGGATGAATATTTTGCTGTCTTATTAAATATTTCTATTAATGTTCCTTGTAAGGATTCTGCCATTACATAAAATTCGCATTTGTTCTCACCTTTTTGTTTTTCAATCTTTACTCATTTACTTTCCACTATTGCTCTTGAAATATGATGCCTGCTTCTCAAATATCTCTATAAATTTGACATGGTGCTATTTTTTTATATTTTACCTGTGGACAGCTTTTGTGCCGACAAGTCCAATATTCTACATTTTTAAACAACATTACTTCGTAAAAAGGTTTAACAGAACTACCTTCTAATTTTTCAGCTCTTTTTTTGTACTAATTTGTGAATAATTGTGAAACCTCACTAACATTTGAATCATCTGTGCTAGCTACATAACTACTAGATTCTACCTCTAAATACTCTGATTCTATCATCTCTAAATCAGCATTTACATGCTCTAATTCTACCAACTCAGTGCCTACATGTTCTAACTCTATATTATTATAATACCCTTTGTTATTATTATCAAAGTACCTTTCATTGTTCTCACCATAATACACTTCATTATTCTCATTACAATACCTTTCATTATTCTCATCATTATACTCATCATTATTCTCATCATTATACTCTTTATTATTCATATTGAAATACCTTTCGTTATTCATTACTAGATTTGACTATTTATATATATATTTGATTTCAATAGTTAGCTTTTTTAAAGTAATAATAAATATTTCCTAACTAAAAAAAAATTTAAATACAATAAAATAAAAAATTCAAGTTTTTATTACCTTTTATTAAAAAAAAAAAAAAACTCTGAAGTTGCTAGTCTCTAATTCTAAATGAAGGCCCTAATCTTATTAAGTTTTTTTATCTGCTTTATGCTCAAGGCTTGATTTGCTTAAAAAGCTATAGAAAAAAAAGCTGCAACACCAAGTAAGTCTGATCATTTAAGTTGAACCTTTTTTATACACTACACACCCATTTATAGAGTCATTTCATGAAACTTCAATAGTAAAAGAAGTCTACTTTCTATTTTTAAGTTTAAGCACAAGTTTGTTAAATGTACTTTTTATTTGTATGTATTTAGTTCTAATTGGCTATTACAAATCGATTATTACGTATACTAATATAATTGGATAACTCGTTTGACCTAGTTCATAACCCAGGTCAATATCTAACCCAAATCTTATTGGCCTGAGCTAATATTCTGACCCAAGTAACATAAGCCTTGGCACAATAAATACAAAAACTAGAATAGCTAAAAACCTATTTGGAAAGTACCAAATTTAAAGATAGTAGTAATCTTTAACAGTACACAGGAAGGCTAAATTTAAACTGGGCCCGAGATTGAAAAACCAAGCAATCAGATCCTTAAATAGGAGATACACTAGCTAAACTGCCAAGCTAACACACTAGAGGAAAAGGGTATATGCTCTGAAAGTATAGACCAAGAGAAGGGTAACTATAAAATACCTAAAGCCTAGCAGACCAATTCTTCTAAGTTGCTAACTAGAAGTAAGAGAGAGACCAATAAAAAATCCAAGTAAGAAGATGATCCGAATATGAATATTAGAGTTGTTGTAAACCAAATAAGAGCAAAGAGTATATAATAGATACCTGGTTAGAAAGGTTGGTGCTTGAGTGATCATAGAATAGTGGTATCCCAAAAGATAGTATAAAATACGAATATTGTATAGCAAGTTAATGTGTACTAATTTAGGAGAAAGTTATAGGAACATGCAGGTAAATACATATGTGAGACATGTACCACTTTGTTAGATTTACTTCAAGAATAGATTAGCCAAAAATAGTTAGCAAGTTCTAAAGCAGTCAATGTATTCTTTACAAAGATAATATCCAAAATCTACTTATAAATAGTGAGAACACTCGGGGTTAAAAACTTGAAAGCAGCAGTTAAAACCAGATAGTTTAAATAGATATCTTCTATAGTTGAGGTACAGATATAGCAGATAGTATAAAACCTTTGGTCGAACTACATAAATTAGACACCAAAGTATATATAGTTTAATATACTATCATTATAATTATAAAAACATCATTAATACTCTAATAAAAGCTTTCAGACCAAAGAGATCACTTTAACCAAAAATAATAATAATAAAATATTATTTATTTATATAATTTATTTTTTTATTCTTTTTTTTGATATTAAAGTAACCTCTTAGGCCAGGAATGTTTTATTAATAGGCAATTTGCCAGTCACATGGATAAAAAAGTTTTTTTTATATAAATTTTATTATAAGTGCGAATGCACAGCGCTTCTATCTAAAACTTTTTTTTATACTAAGTAAATCA